CGTGAATCAATTATTTAATATCACAAATTAATTAATATTTACAGTAACACATTCCTTAGGTTGTTCAATTCACCAAGACTAGAAATTAAACTAGAAAATTACTTAAATTAATATATTATTAATCCCTACCAATTAAAAAAAAAAGGATTAAGGAAGAGAAAGACTTGGCATGGTATGCATGACAAAGAATTTGGTGAAATTGAAAGAGTCAAGAGACAGAACTCAAGTCAGTCATTAATCAAGACAACAATAAATTATAATTAATAATTTGATATGATTTTAAGTCATAATTTAATTAATTAAATGGTCAATATAGTTGTTAGGAAATGATCAGTCAAACAAGTTATTGGGAGTCTTATATAAATTGACAAATTAATTAAAATTAGAGACCATTTTGTCTTGTTAATGATAATTATGAAATAATTAATTTCAAGACTATTAATGTTTATTTTGGAGTTGACTCGTGGAGAAAAGTATGAGGTGCTCGTGCCCGTGCCCGTGCCCGTGCCCGTGCCGATGGTGCAGGTGGCTGTGGTGGTGAGATGGTGCAGTGTTCGGTTGGTAATAGTGGTGGGAACGGTCGTGGAATTTTGGGTGATTGTGATTAACGAATAATACGTGATATATAAAATAGATAATGGGCGCTTGTTCGGTAATGATTATGAGAATCAATTTTTTGATCATTAGAGAAAAAAGTAAATTCCACATGTGAGGAAAGAAGTCAAAAATGATGGTTGACTAGGTTAAGTAATAATCAAAAAATTGAATTTTTGGTATGAAAAATCAGAATCAAACGAGGGCAATATGTGATCAATAAATAATATATAACCTAAAAAAATATTTAAATTTGTATAATTTGTAAACTTATGATCAATTAATTAGAAAATTTATGACCAAGAATTAGTTTATTACAAATTATATTAATAATTTGTGACCGTGATATAAGTTGTGACTTTTAAAATTTATGATTTGTGGTCGAGAAATAATATGTGACCTATTAATTTGATAATTTGTCATCGATAGATAATTGTGATTTATAAAATTTGTGATTTGTAATCAATAAATAATGTGTAACCAATTAATTTGATAATTTGTAACCTATGATATTTGTAATTTGTGATTGTAACTAGTAAGTAATTGTGACTATAATATATTTAATTAATAATTATTTTAATTATCTTTTTAATTAATAAAAATTAATTATGACTTGAGTTTTGAAACTTTAAAACATATTTCATAATTTTGAAATTGTACCTTTTAATTAAATGTATATTTCTCCCCTTATTAATTATCAATTAAATTTATGGGCCCATTTGACAGGTTTTCGCTTTTCACGGAAGAGATATATTAGGTCAATTTATTCTAAAAGTTCTTTTTATCAAACAAAACACTTTTAGACAAAACACGTCGAATGACTATCGATAGTTTTCACTATGAATAAAAATATTTTTTAGAAAATTATATAAAGATATTCAAAAGTAGATTTTTATCTAAGAATTAGCTTTTGATTTTTTAAAAGAGATGCAAAATGGAAGCTAATTACTATAATAATAATAATAGTTGCATCACATATCTAAGAAGTCAAGGCAACCTCGAAGTCTCAAACGCACCTTTCTTGGGTCAATTTTTTTGAATTGATTCGTGAATTCTGCCAAAAAATATCTGACCATGATGAAAAGAATCGTTGTCAATCTTCTTTACCAGGAAATTTCTAATTTAATTTATTCATTAAAATTGAAATTTCATTAATTCCAATGACATTGGAAGCTATAAATTGAATTGGGACATTGCACATATCTTAGCAGTGACAATTAATTATGAAAACATTTCTTCTCCTCCTATTCTTTCTTGTAGCCTTGGCCTCAAAACCAGAATGCATTAATGGAGTTGAGCATGTTATCGGCGCCATATCGGATTGTAACACTCGAGTGGGCAAAGAAGAAAGAGTAGCCATGGAAATGGCCATTCAAGATTTCAACATGCAGCACAAACAAACATTTCTTATGCTGAGATTGAAATGTTCTAAACGGAAACCTTTACAGTCAGCTCTTGCAGGTAATCATCGAATGATCCGTTAATACTTAGTAGAAGTTTGAGAATAGCCGTAGAAATCAATGAACTTTTGTGAAATTTCTTTGCAGCAAGACATCTGATCAATAAGAACAAGGTGGAAGTTATTCTTGGACCAAGATCATGGGAGGAAACATCCAATGTTGCTGAGGTTAGTGAACACTATGATGTGCCAATTCTTTCGTTTGCCGATTCTAGTCCACCATGGGCTGCCAAGCGTTGGCCGTTCCTCGTTCAAGCTGCGGCGGGGACACACCTACAAATGACGGCAGTGGCTAATATAATTCAATCGTGGGGGTGGCGCCGGGTGAATGTAATATATGAGGACACAGATTCTGCAGCTAGTGGAATCAGTCCTTATCTATTTGTTGCTTTACAAGCAGTTGATGTCGAAATAAGCAATCTTTTACCCCTCCCTTCTTTTGCTGATTCCACTTTGTTGCACAAAGAACTCAAAAATCTGAAAAAAGAGCAATGTAGAGTGTTTGTTGTGCATACTTCGTTAGAACTCGCGATGCATATTTTTGGAATGGCGAAGGAAAAAAACATGATGGAGAAGGAATATGTATGGATTACCACTGATTCCATTACAAGTTCGGTGCATTCAATGAATTTTTCCTTAATTTCCTCTATGCAAGGTGTCATAGGCGTGAGGAACTCTTTTCTTGAGACTGGACCTGATTTCAAAAGTTTTTCGACAAGATTTTATGGGATCTTTGGCCGGAAGTACCCCGAGGAAAAGCATCACGAGCCTGGAATCTTTGCACTGCAGGCCTATGATGCCGTGAAGATGGTGGGATTAGCAATGATTGAAGGTACCAACAGCAATGGCCAGCAACTTTTGGAAAGTATTCTCAAAACAGATTTCGAAGGTTTAAGTGGGAATATCCAGTTTACGCAGCAAAAATTAGAGCCCACAACTCAATTTCAGATAATCAATATCATTGGAAAGCATTATAGAGAATTGGGATTCTGGACTGAGAATTTAGGATTCTCCCATACTATAGATCATGGAGTGTACAATTTATCCATGGAGAGTTTAGGAGATGTGAATTGGCCTGGACTTGGAGGGCGATCGTCTGCTCCAAGAGGATGGGATCTTCCAACAATTGAAAATCCTCTGAGAATCGGAGTTCCCAATGGATCCATTACAAACAAATTTGTGAAAGTTGATTATGATTCTTCTAAAGATAAGTACACTTTTTCGGGATTTTCTGTCGACGTGTTCAATGAAACTGCAAGGCATTTGAAATACTCTCTACGATATGAATTCATTCCTTTTGGAGGAAGCTACACTGATTTGGTAAAGAAAGTTCAATCTAAGGTAAGATATTATATACTCTCCTAGTAATATTGCATCCGAGTTATATTCTGACACAGGTCTCGATTGTTTCTGCAGGAATTTGATGCAGCAGTTGGTGACATCGCCATAATATCAAATCGATGTGAATATGTAGAATTCACGCACGCTCATACAGAGACAGGACTATTAATGGTAGTGCCAATTCTATGGCATTCAAGCAGAGCTTGGCTCTTTGTGAAGCCTTTCACAAAAGCCATGTGGTTTCTCACGTTTTTCATTAATGTCTTCAATGGATTCGTCGTATGGAGTATTGAGCGAAATTACTGCTCCGAACTAAGAGGACCAATTCTGAACCAAATAGGCACTCTACTTTGGTTGGCTTTTGCAACACTGTTCTCATTACATGGTAACATAGACACAGAAGATGATCACACTAGTTTTCAAATGAAAATTTGTTGATTTTCTGTTGTTTAACTTGTCGACAGGTGAAAAATTACATAGCAATTTGTCACGTATGGCGACGGTGGTATGGCTTTTTGTGGCTCTGATCATCACACAAAGCTACACAGCCAGCCTTACCAGCATGCTCACAGTGCAAAATCTCGAACCAAAAATAGCAAATATTGAGACACTAAAGAGCAATAATGCGTTGATTGGCTATTCGCAGAGGTCTTTCGTTAGAGGATATTTGGAGGGTCCTTTAGGCTTTAAATCAAGCAACATCAGGAATTTCACATCAACGGATGAGTATGCGCAGGCTCTCAGAAGTGGTGCTATTGCAGCAGCCTTTCTTGAAGCTCCTGTGGCTAAACTTTTCGTCGCCAAATATTGCAAGAGCTTCACCATTGCCGGTCCTGCATACCAAGTTGGAGGATATGGATTTGTAAATTCTCTCCCCCTTATGATCACCTCGTCTAAAACTTTAAGCCATTGAAAAAAGTATACACTTTCACGTGTAGGTCAATTTCAATTTTTATAATTAATCAGACACGCGTACAATTTTGGGTAACCACCATCTTAAACGGATAGAGAGGGGACATGATTTTACTGGATGAAACTGATGACAATGTTTTCTATTGATTTCGTCTTCTCAGGCATTTCCAAAGGGATCTCCTCTACTTCCTGACATAGATGAAGCATTACTGAATGTTCGCGAAAATGGTGTGCTGAAAGATTTGGAGCAGAGCTTAATAGCATCTGAGAAATGTGTAGATATTCAATCAGACAATGAAACTGCAAGTCTTAGCCCTCAGAACTTCTTTGTGCTGTTTATAATCACAGGAGCCACATCATCAACATCACTATTAATCTACTATTTTCGGGCGAAAGGCAGAAATGAGAATTTCATGGCTCAATATAAAGGGATTTGGATTACTATAATGATGGTTCTGAACAAGTTGGGATATCACAGAAATAGACTTTCAAGAAAAGTAAGTGATGTTGCTGATGAAATTCCCGAAAATTTTCCAAATAATTTGCATTCACGGCCACAAATCTAGCTTAATTCGTATCCTCGATGGATCAGTTGACTCTAGTTATCGTATATAATTGGCTGTCAAGAAGTTGTTTGCTAGAGACTGTAAATAGTAAATACTAAACAACAAATAAATGGGGTTTATGTTGTGTCCAATCTGTAGCGTTGTTCTTCACTGAGAGCTCTACATGTCGACTTTTGTTTAGTACCTTACATTAAATAAACCTTTCGACTTTGAAGTGTGATTCAATCTCGTTTTCTTGTAAGACAAATAACGCGCTACCTTGTTCTTTATTTTACAGCATATTTTAACCAAAATGCTCAAAGAATACCGGATAGGTTAAACCAATCAGACAAATAAATAAATAAAAGAAATTTCTACCCTGACAGCATGCATTACAATACAAAAGCAAATTATTTAAGTGATCTTAAGCCTCCAACATTGACTTTCTTAAACCTAAATACAAAACAAACAATGAATGAAACAAATTCTAGCCACAATTTTCAGGAAAAAAGGAGCCAAATTTTCATTTTTCTCCTTTATCCTTTCTTGTCAACATTTCATGAAAATGAAACCCCACCCCAAGTCAAGTAAGTAGCAATACTATAAAATCATGGAACATAATGGGTCCCACCCACTACATCACGTGATCTCATTGCACATGCAGCTTATCAGCACCACAGCCTCACACCCTTGAGAAATTATTCGAAGGTGGCGGCTAACGGTGGTTGTGGTGGTGGTGGTTCTTCCACGGTGGCTTTATCTCCCATCTTCTTAATGTTTTGTTCATGATATACTTTTCTCAATCTTTCTATCTCCTTCTTTAATGCTTGCTGATGGGCTGTCATTTAATATAAATTTATATAAGTAAATGTCAAAATGGTGAATAAAAATGAAACATGTACAAAAGTTATTGATGGAAAAAAAAAATACTAAAAAGTAGGTTTAAGTAAGCCTGGACAAAAAAATCAAAAAATTGATTAAACCAATCAAACCGAACCGACTCAGGTCAGTTTGGGTCAATTTGACACAGGTAATTAGTTTGGTTTTTTTTTTTTTTTTTTTAACAAAATCATAGTGGATTGGTTCGTCATGATTTGAAGCCTCAAACCATTGGTTAACCGAACCAATCCAACTCACTTACATGTTTACCTTTTTTTTAAGAAAAATAAAAATCAATAGTTGATTCGGTCATGTGCGCTTGTTATCTAAATAAGTCCTAATCTCATAATTATATCATGATTCCTTCAAATTTATGATGTTGTCGGTAAGTAATAGTTCTGAAAATTTCATTTCACAAGCTCATTATGTTATAATTAGCTTTTTTTCCCTACTAAGACATTGAGACCACATAATGTATAAAATGGCAACAAAATTCTTAAGTTTTCTATTGATAGTTTCTATTAACTTAATTTTATTTGTTAATCAATAATTCTTGTAATAAAAAGTTATTTATTTATTTTAATTCTTGTAATCTAATTGGACCCAAAACTTGGATAATTTAAAAAAAAAAAAAATCAATTTGAACTAAAAGTCCAAACCGACTAACCAAACCAAATTGATTTGTTTGGCTTGGTTCGATTTAAGAGTTAGAGTGGATTGGTTAGGGTTGAAATTAACCCAAATCGACTAATTTGATTTTGGTTTCGGATTAGAGTCAAAATCAACCCAAACTTAATCACGCCCAGACCTAAGTTTAAGTAACTTTCAAGCAAACCTAACATGCTGATAATTTCTTTATGTTCAAGTTAAGTAATTTCAATGGTCAAATAATCGATATATCACCCTCAATTATAGTCCTTACCATCTTTGAAAATTTTATCTTGAGCCAATGCTGCAATTCTCTGCTTAAGAGCACTATTATCAACATTGAGAAGCAGCCTTTGATGGTCTAAAAATGCAACCCTTGGTGACAAAGCTGATAGTTCATTCTGCATTGATTCAATAATTAGGACTGCACAAAAATTATAAGTCGACAATAATATTATAAGTAAATTCTTAACTTATTTTTATGCTTTAGTACTGTCAATTTCTCCAGACAAGACATGCGTACCTGCAATGTTGTCACACTCCTTTCAAGCTCAGAAATGTATTGTAATTTCCTCACTCTTGATCTTTGAGCCGACTGACGATTGGCCAAAACTCTGGCCATCAACATGAATACGTTAGAAAAATGAAATTATTCACTACATCTAAAGCTCAAATGATCATTCAGATTCCAAATTTGCTGTCTTGACGCAAATAGTTAAGAATGAATGCGATATCTGTTAAATTATGCCAAAAGATGGAAAACTTTACACATTCAACAGACCAAAAACATCTTTCACTCCAAAAAGTAAATGTTTCTTGGGGTATGTTTTCCTTAAATAACATCGATAAATTCTAGGACTGTTTCAATTTTTTAACAAATTTTACCTTTTGATCCTCTTTGGATCAACAATGGTATCCCCAGAAGCATTATCAGAAGATTTGGCAGGAGGCAGTGACTCTACTGGTGGTTTGCATGAACTATCCACCTCACCAGGCTCATTCTTCGGCTGCACACGGTGGGGCTCCTTCTCCACCTCCACCTCCACCACCGTTGTTATCTTCTCATTGTTTTCACCGTTCTGATCCGACGGTGAGGAAGGACTAGACGAAGACCTTGTAGTAGGCCCCACATCCGCCATATCATCAGAAAACATGTCTCTTAACTGTTCATCATCCAATCTCTCAAACCCATTATTATTATTGCCAGACTCTTCCACGAAGGCGACAGGGTCACTCGCCGTCCTCCGGTACATGCTCCGCCGTGTCGAGGAGAAGTCGACGAATTCATCAACCCATGAATTTTGTGGAGCATGAAGTGGCATCATTTGGAATGGAAATGACGGCCAATTGTGTGCCATAGATGGAACTTTTGGTGGTAAGTGCTCCATGCATTAACAGCCCTTAAATCTTCTACTCAATTATACCTAAACCAAAACGAGATATAAATCAAGTTCAAGAAAATCTTGAATGAAGAATTTCTTAGACAAGAGAGTTGAGTGATTTAAGGATGAATTGTCAAGCGTCTGTGTGAAGGGTATCATCAAGATTGCAGGGCAATGTTCTTATTTTTTAAGGCCCGGAAGTTTTGGAGGGAAGGGTGGGGGTGGGGGTGAGTGGGTCACATGGGATGTAGGATTAGGACAGCTAGCTACAGCTGTCGAGAAGAAGGGTCATCGAAATCCGGTTTTCTCTGTGAAAGTAGCAGTAGTTTAGTAACTGGGAATCAGCCACCACGTGCCAATGTGCCATTGCCTCTTCACCACCCCGGTTATCATATGGGAGAATCGAAGATTCATTCTGTTTTTGGGTTTTGTTCTTGTGGATAATCGCATTAGAGTTTATCTGTACTTGTTCACTATCCACCATTGGATGAAATCCTTCGACGATCTTTATAGTCAATTTTGTAACGTTTGTCAGCATACGATTCTTTAGCTTTTTTCGTATTGGATTGCAAGAATTGGTCCATCAGAGAAACGAGGCTTCATACATTCAAGAACTTAAGAACGGAACAAAAAGGAAAAGACTCGACATTCTTCCCGAAAGAGATGAAATGATTTTAAAAAACGAAAACACTAAAAGTCATATAGAGTGGACATGATTTCGACAAGATTAATATAACAATGAGGTAATTGTCATAATCTTGAATTAATTAAATGTATTCCAATTTCATTCGAGAATGTAACGTTTACTATATTGTCACATAAACTATTGATTGTGAGCCTTACTTACAAAAAACATTACTCTAATGAAATAGGTAATAGAGGGATAAAAATATTGAATGGGGTATAGTGGGAGGATGTGGGATTTAGAGAGGATGAGCTGTGAAGGGAAAAGAGGCCGCAGAATAATGTCTTCTTCTTCCCCATGTGCAATGTTTTTATGTCCCCATCTCAATTTGCCTTCTTCTCAACTCAGTCACATGGAGTCTCTCTCTCTCTCTCACACACACACACACACAATGCATAGAGGCTTCTTTCTTAAAAAAGTTGAACTCCAACTTTGAGGGCTCCGACCGTCCCGTCCCTAGAGATTTGTGAGGAAAGTAAATCGCGGGATGTTCTCCAACAAATTAGGAAACAAGAGCTGCATGTACACTGCGCCTACAAGGAATCCAACCCCCACACTGCGAATGCCAGTAAGGCGTGAGATAACGTCACTCCCATCATTTGCACCACTGGGCTCTGCCCCGAGGCATAGAGGCTTCTTTCTTGGTAGCTTCCATAATTCAACCATAGTGCTATTCATGTTTATTTTGTTAGTTAAAAGTAGTTAAAAGACTAATAATGATTAGTGAAAACTACAAAGTCACTTGTGTCATCAGAAAGCTTGTCCCAACTGCATTTATTATTGTTTTCATGTGAAAAAGGGCTTGTCGACGTATCACTCGTTTATGTGACAAAAATTTTACTATCACATAAATTTATATTGAACAGCAATGACATTAAATAGAATTATTTTAAATGAAATTTGACTTGCATAGTAGTTACAAGAAGTCGAAATAAAGAACAAATTTTACCTTTATAAAATGTGTGCGTTTAACAAGTTACAAAAACCAAATATTTTGTCTTTGTGCAAACTTGTTATCCAATTCTAAAGCAAATATCTTAAAATATTGGCGTCACCAATTGATTGATTACAAAAAATCTTTGATTGATATGCAAATATATGGCGCTAAACAAGCATATGCATGTGCAATGGAGAAAAAAGTTGGCTTCATTGAAGGTAATTCTAACCTAATACCATCGAAGCTATTGACTCGCTCTTCAATCATTATCCTTGTTTGTTTTTTAAAGAAGTGATATTTAATATAAAAAAATAGAAAAAAATTATGAATCAGCAAATATATTTTATTGAAATAATGTTAAAAATGAATTTGAAGAAAAACGAGACAACCCAACTCAAGGGCTCTATGCAAACATAAAGCATTTGAAAAAATAAAAATCAGAAAAGGACAATTACAATTTTCCAATGTTAATCGCAATCCCCAAAAATTCTAAACAAACCGTACAGGATTTGGGACAGACAGTGGGACCCCTTATTAGCCTAATTCAATGAGAAAAAGTGTCATTATTGCACGTGGGAGGAACCAACAACGAGACCCTACCTGTTTTTTCCAATTAGTGATATGATGGAATTCCCTAAAAGGGAACGCGCGAACGCGCAGAGTATTGATCTCATCCACTTCCCATCCGCCCATCATTTTCTTCTAAAAATATTACGAAAATTAAAAATAAAAATCCAAAATTTCATCATATATCGACTACTAGTTATGAATCTAAAGAACTAAGGTGAGAAAAATTAAATAAAATAAAACTACAACAATCTCATGTATATCAGTAAATTGTGTGAATTATACAGCAAAGTAGCGACCAGTTTCATCTATAACTTCTTCCTCTACCACGACCCCGCCATCCACCACGTCTTGCACCACCTCTTCCACCAGCTCGTCCACCATTTAAACCTTCAAATGCCTTGTTAAGAAGGTTTTGTAGGCCTCCCATTCCCCTACCCCTTTTGGCCGAATTGCGGTTAGATCCATTAGCAGCAGCGTTACGTTTTTTACTGCACAAAGCAAACCAAGAATGTAAACATAGAAAACCGGACAGTGAAAATGATAGTTTGAGGAGGTTCTTTGTCTCAGTTACCCAGCAGCAGCGGTACTTGATGGAATTGAAGCTTTAGTTCTTTCTTTCCATAACAAAGTAATTTTCTGATCCCCAGTAAATGACGGAGCTTTTGTACGCAATGGCTGAATACCAGATGCAAGACACAATAGAAAGAAGATTTGAAGACTAGAAAATATCAAATTTCTCCACCATTTCATTCATAAACTAAATTTAAAAAAAGAATCCCCGAACTGAAAAAATCAATAAACCAATAAAATGCGAAACATTTTTT